GCTGATTTTTTGATTTATTGTAGAGATGAGGTCTCGCTGCCCAGGCGGGTCTCGAACCCGCGGGCTCAGGCAATCCACTCACCTCAGCCTCCCAAAGGCGCAGGATTACAGGCTGAGCCACCGAGCCCGGCTTAGTTTTTATTTTTATTTATTTATTTTTTTGAGTTGGAGTCTCACTGCCACTGCAGCCTCGACCTGCCGCGCCCAGCAATCCTTCCGCCTTGGCCTTCCAAGTAGCTGGAGCTACAGGCACGCGCCACCACGCCTGGTTAATTTTTTGATTTGTTGTAGAGATGAGGTCTCACCAAATTGTCCAGGCGGGTCTCGAACCCGCGGGCTCAGGCAATCCACTCACCTCAGCCTCCCAAGGCGCGGGATTATAGGCTGAGCCACTGAGCCTGGCTCGTTTTTATTTTTTTAATATAAATTTTTTATTTTAAAGATGTGGGATACAATTCAGGGTTAGGTATACAAATATACCTACAAATGCAGGTATCCTTGTTGATGGGGTGCCCCCCTGTCGATTCTCACTACTGCCGATCCCGCCTCCCCACTCCACCCACGGTTTCCCGCTAGAGCCAATCCTTTTCTCAGCTGGTGGCCACTCAGGGCCTGGGAGCCTAGCCATTCCTGCTTCCTTGAGTAGATGAGGTTGGTGGCTAGTGTAACTGTTCCTGCCCCACCCTCATCAAGGTGGCTGGTTGCTCTTTGAGCCTGGTCACATCACTGGCTTGGCCTTGCCAGGCATAAGCAGGCCCCAGGTACCCATACACTGTCCTGAGGATTCTCGCCCTGCCTTGGTCCAGCTTCTAGTTCTGATCAGGGCCGCAGGGGCTTGGCCTCGAAATGGTCATCTTGGGTATCTCTAGTGCCCATCTCCTCCCTAAGCTCAGGTCGGTACCAGGTTGGGTCCCTCTGGGCGGGGAACTTGTGTCCTGTGAAGGGGACTCTGTCATACAGGTCGGTCATCATGAAGAGGAAGGCGTGTTGCTGGCTGGCTGAAGCTTTTAGGATGCCACACTCACCCTCCCCTCCAGAGGCTTCCAAGTATTCAGCTTCCCTGTTGATACTGATTTCACATGGCTGAGGAGCTCTCTGAGGCTTCAGGGCAGCTTGCCGGCTGCTACCCTGGCTCCTTCTGGGCCATGTGGGTCACTGCCCCTTGAAGAAGGTGAGATACAGGCATCGTCATATGGGGGAGGGGTGTCTCAACATTTTTAGTTGGCTGTGCACGCAAGTCGGGGTGTGCAAGCCCCAGTGAGGTTTCAGGGCAGGGCTGTTCTGTGGTCTTCGTCCTCCAGGGAAGACTTGGAAGAAACAGGGGCCCAGCATCCTTGCTCGAAGCTGTATGCTGGAAACCATCAGCTTCTTGGGCGCTCTGGGAACAAAAGTCAACACAGAGATCACCAAATAACCCGTGGTCTGTTCTGAGCCAGAGACAGGCTGGCCACCCCCTGAGCCGCCAGGCCCCTAGAAAGCAGCCTGCTTCCCTGCACTCTGTGGAAGCCCCCTCATGTGGCTGGGCTTTGGCTTTGGGGACAGTCCAGCCAGGGGAGGGTCGGGGAGGACCAGGCTTCTGTTTCGGGTGATGCCCCATGGGCTGCTGGAGCTGGGCTGGTGGGCTGGGGAGATCCAGCCTGTCTTCCTTGGGGAGGTCATCCATGCAGGGCGATGGCCACAGAGGCCTGGCTGTTGGGGCATTCACTGGGGGCCCAGGGCCTTCCAGGGGAACTCCTCAGGTTTGGCTGAAAGGAAAACAAATTTGGTCAGCTCCTCTTGGTCTCTTCTCCAGAGAGCTCATCTGGCCCTCCCAGGGTGAGGCCATAGAGAACAGGGTCCCTGGAGTCCTTGGGTTCTCTGTGTGGCTCCGCTGGTCTAATACGGAGGACGTAGAGCTAGGGGTGTGTGCAGCCTGGGGCTTGGGCACTGCTGGGGCACCCCAGGCTGCTCCTGTGATGACCCCCCTAGGGTTGGGGCTGGCTCAGGGCTCCTCGCCTCATGCCCTCACCCCAGGGCTACTCTACCTCGGCTTCAGCCCGGGTGCGGAACTCGGGTGGGAGAGGCCTTTGCTGTCACGCAAGCCCCCTTGCCACCCTCACACGGG